CAAATGCTTAACCGAGCCGGCTTAATCGAGAGTCAGACCAATGGCCGGTATCAGGTGGCCCCGGACACACTTAGCTCACAAGCCAAGGTCCCTCGGGTATGTCAGTCGGAAGATACTAATAACCGCTTGGCTGGCGTGTCTGCGACCTTGGTTAAGGGTGCTCCTTTACGTGATCCCCGCATTGCATCAGTGCCTACCAGAGATGATTGTCCCACTGCAGCGGAGGTCGTTCCTTCGAACTACCACACCACAAATTCAGTATCAGATGCAGGTACCGCGAAAGGTGCTTCCTCACAAGTTAGTTCACCCGGAGGTACTTACAGCCGAGTGATTGTATACCCTGCATCTCCGGCCGCTGGGGTCAGAGTCAGTCAGCAACATGCCATGATTACACCAAAAGGAACTAGGTGGGACTGCACTCCTACCACAGCGGCAGTTGTCTGCTCGAGTCCTCAAACAATGCAGGTTGCAAGGGGAATAAGTCGCGAGTTACATGTGACAACGACCAAAGTTTCACTGGACGGAAGTACGACTTCCAGCTTGTTACCCGGGGAAAGTTGCGGGGTTGCGGACATGAGCTTACAGGTGGCGCATCCAGGATTATTTGATGCCACTCGCATAATGTCAGCTGCTCCGGAACTCAAGGACACTACGTGCATCTCGCTGATCGGTTTGGGAAACCAACGCTGTGAATCTCCCAAGGCTGACCTTGCAGGAAATTCGAAAGGCAGCGTTGCTAGACCTTCTAAGTTAAAGAGAAAGAAGCAAGTTGGTCGTTTACGAAACAACTCAAATCGGACGGAACCTGACAAGGTTTCTGCTCGTGTTGACCTACAAGAGCCTAATCTTGACCCAGCATTGCAGGCGGCGAACGATAATGACGCGGCGTCAAAAAACGGGTTGTCCCCTCGGGTGCTGCGCCCGAGGGGAAACAACCGCGTCAAGCAGGACTAATTGTATGGTATACCAATTGCTGCAGTGTGAGGAACAAATGGGGAGAGATGGTGAGGCGCTGCGGATGTGCTGATGTTGTTGCCTTGACAGAGACATGGCTTTCTCCGAGCGACATGGTTAGCGACCTGCTGGTAGATTTCGTGAGTTACCGAGTAGATAGGCCTGATCACCACACTGGCGGGGGAGCACTATTGCTTATAAAGCGCCAGTATAGTCATTGGGAGGCTCCGTTTATGATGAGTAATACGAACGTTCAAGTGGTGTCTTGTTACTTAAGGATGATGGGCAGGTTGGAGATCTTTATATGTGTCTACCGCAGTCCATCGTCCACACGAGAGGAGGACAAAGAGCTCGGTGCACTATTGAGGCGCGCAGTGGTTGCTGCGCCTAATTTCCTAATAGTTGGTGATCTTAACCTTCCTCATGCGGATTGGCAAGGCACGGCAAACAGAGCGGATACCTTGGAACAGGAACTGGTTGACTGGATGCATGAGAATGCACTTGAACAATACATCAATATACCGACCAGGAGCCGAATCGGGAGTGCCCCCTCCACGTTGGATGTTGCCATCACCAAACACGGTCGTTTCGCAGAGCTACAAGTGGAAGCACCTTTAGGTAGGAGTGATCACTGCGTCCTCACTTTCTGCCTAAATACATTGAAGCCTGCACGACATCCTCGCCTCGTGAGAAATTTCAGCCGCATTGACCACATGAAATTGAGGGATAGAGCCCTCCAGGTCAATTGGATCCCTGACCAGGAACAGGCATCTTTGGAACAAAGGTGGTCTGTGCTTAAAACTGGTTTAGTACAACTATTGAATGAGTTTGCTCCTCTTCGTCCTGCGAGACACTTCAGCAAGCCTCGGTGGTGGAGGAGGAGAATTGATAGAGCTCTAAAGAGACGAAATGAGAAGTGGAAAAAATTCAATGAGGCCAGGGGCTTTCGACGATGGCTACAGTACACAAAAAGCCGGAATACGGCTATCAAGATGCAACGGCAGGCTAAATACTCTTATGAGCTTCGGCTGGCCCGGTATGCGAAAACAAATCCAAAGTGTTACTACGGCTATGTTCAGTCTAAAGCCTCCCTAAGAGAGGACGTTGGGTGTCTAATTATGGAAGATGGCAGCCAGGCTGTGGAAGCCAGAGATAAAGCTGAAATGCTGCTAAGAGTCTTTCAGAATCTGCATAGGAGCGACAATGGATGTGCTGCACCATCGCAGCCACACTGTGTCAGCAGTTATATAATGCAGGACATCGTGCTGACTGCGCAAGAGGTCTTTACTGTGATGACTAACTTGAATCCCTTCAAATCAGCCGGTCCTGACGATGTACATCCGGCAATAGTCAAGCCACTAGCTGACATCCTTCAACATCCTGTTCTGGAGCTGTTCAACTTGTCGCTCAAGGAATGCAAGTTGCCACGAGACTGGAAGGAAGCAGCCATAGTTGCGATTCACAAGGGTGGCTCCAAATCGGAGCCCCTTAACTACAGACCCATCAGTCTAACCTGTGTTCTGCTCAAGTGTTTAGAGAAGCTTATAAGAAACCGGATTTGCGAGCATTTGGCGGAACACAGTCTACTTAGAGCAGAGCAGCATGGTTTCATTAAAAAGAAGTCATGCCTCACTAATCTACTGTGCTTCGTCGATGAGATTACTCGACGTCTTGACGACGGGATTCCGGTAGAGGTCTGCTATCTTGACTTTAGCAAGGCTTTCGACTCAGTAAATCACCGTTTCCTACTTGAAAAATTAGCATGGTTCGGAGTACATCCTAGACTTTTGTCTTGGGTGTCAGAATTCTTATGTGGGAGAACGTTTCGAGTTAGAATCGGTGATGTAAGTTCTAGTGTGGGCGTGGCCTACAGTGGAGTACCCCAAGGATCTGTGCTAGGTCCACTTTTGTTTCTTATGTTTATAAACGACTTGGCTCCTCTTATTGTAGACCCCTGTTATATCTTTGCGGATGACTTGAAGCTAGTCAGCAGGGGCAACCGTGCAACACTGGCCAAGGATATCATCAATGTGGTAAACTGGTCGAAGCAATGGGACTTGCCCTTGAATGCAAGCAAGTGCCAAATTCTGACCACTAGTAGAGACGTACTTGCAGTTCAGACTTCCTTTGGGCCCTTCCCCTTACAATGCACTACCCAGGCACGCGATTTAGGAGTCATCATGACGAGCAGCTTCAAGCCTTCGATGCAATGTCGATACGCCGCCAACAAAGCGCGACGAGAATTGTTTCGCCTCAGGAGGGCTCTGTGTAATACCAAGCCAGAAGTGTTCCTGCCACTATACAAAGCAGTGGTTAGGCCACACTTAGAGTATTGTGTTCAAGCTTGGTCGCCCTATCTCCGTGGTGATGTTCTTTGCCTGGAGAAGATTCAAAGACTAGCAACCAGGATGGTTGAAGGTCAACGGGGGAAGCCGTATGAAGATCGCCTAAAGAGCCTGGGGTTGTTTTCCCTTGAACGGCGTAGACTGAGAGGCGATCTGATAGAAACATTTAAGATCATGAAGGGCCTCAGTGCCATCGTGCCCTCTGATTTATTTGAGCTGGCTGATTCTGAACACTTGCGTGGACATCGCTTGAAGCTCAAACAGCAGAGGGCTAGACTGAACGTCAGGGCTAAGTTCTAATCGAATCGTGTAGTGCGCAACTGGAATAAGTTGCCTTCGGAACTAATGGATTGTGAGACTGTGGTTGCCTTCAAAGCAGGCCTAGACAGGTGCTGGACGCGTATTTTTCCGGAATTAATATAATCCTATCCACTTTACTCGCATTGATATCCGATGTTGATCCTTGTAAAAGCAAAGATTGCTCTCGCTTTTGCTTCATTTCTTTTTGCAGAGGCAAGGAGAGGCGATCAAAAGTCGAAGTGCCGGGGCTCTGGTTCGCTTACCGGTACAAGAAGCTGGACGCTCGTTAGGCGGAAGCCTGTATCGTCCACGGATTTTGACCTGACCTGACCTGACCTTCTTTTCAGCTGCGTTGAATGCTGCGCTAAAAGATCGACGCGCTCGGCTGTCACCGGTGCTAAACTTTCAGCGTTGGCTTCAAGGTTGGCAGATGTTGAGAAGGCGATAGCTAAACTCGCCTCTATTGCGTCGCTCGATACGAAAATGGATTTGATTTTAAAATCCCTGAATATTTCGTTGAAGACACTGCAATAGACGGCAACATTGCTGACGATCCATCCACTGGAGTCTGTCACTCGGTCATGAATTCGCACATCCTACCGGACAATCCAGGTAGCATTGCTGGCTGTCCTCATGATCCGATCAAAGTGAAGAAAAATAGGGTGCGGAAATACCAGAAGCCCTCTGCTAAACCCAGAGAATAGTTGCCACGGCATCGAAAAGATGCCGTCTTTGACAGTCGTAAAGTCATCTGACGGTTGTGCACAGGAACATTCTGAAGATGCTGACTGTCTCGGCTGCCAGTGAACCAGCCCGTTCTGACGAAGTGTTGGTAACTGCTCAATGCGATACAAGGTCAATGGCCCCTGTTCCCGTGAGCCAAAAGAAGAAGCGGACTAGATCTGCTCGTAAAACTTCGAAGGGGCTTGAAGACCCAGGAACTAGTAAGACGCCAGCAATAGAGCGGAAAACCTACGCTACCGTTGCTTCGACGTCGTTTGCGGAGTCAGGGACAGTCCCACCGCCAGTGGTGAAAACAGCTGGTATAGGTGTCGAATCCAAGGCACGTGGGGTAAACACTCCCCGTCGTGCCGACTCTTTCACGGATAGTAGCGTTATATTCCGTAACGTTACTGAATCTGCGGCTGCTCTCCCAAGGGAACGCATCTTGGATGACATCAAGTGGCTGAAACTGTGCGTCACCAAGCTGCTTCCACCTGGCTTCCCTGGTGTCACTGTCAGAAAGCTGACCAGATTGGGAACGTCCCTATCGGTACGCCAAATCCGCGACCCCGACTACTTCGCGTGGTCCTTTCTACCCCGGAGGAACGCAAATCATTACTGCGGTTTGCATTCAAACTTAAGGGTAGTGGTGTCAGCGTTCAGCCGGACCTTCCACTGGCAGATAGATTGAAGTTAAAGGAGGCTATCAAAGACCTCAAAACTAGACGGGCGGCTGGTGAGCAAGGCCTCCGTCTGGTGGGTTTTCAGGTGGTCAGCCGGAAGTTATTTTCCGCCCTATCAGAACCCATCCTGATGGCGCACGACCCAGGGATGGTCGTGCCGACTTCCTTGAGGTAGTACTTAGCAACGTGCGTAGCCTAAGGAACAAGGTGCACGAGTTGGTCTACTTGTAGACAAATCTCGTCCCGACATACTTGCTTTCACTGAAACGTGGTTGTCTCCGGATATCACGGACGGTGAGGTATGTTTACCTGGCTACGCGCTGCTTAGAACTGATCGCTCCGTTGGTCGCCAAGGCGGAGGCGTTGTACTGTATGTGAGCTGTAACTTAGATGTGTTGAGGACCTGCACATTCCAGTCGTCGGATCAGACTGTTGAAGCCCTATCGGCTGTTTTGTGCACTTCCTCTACCCAGTTTACAGTTGTAGTGATATACAGAAGTCCTGGAAGTTCTTCCAGGGGGATACTTGACTTTATTCGCACTCAGTCTGCGAATAAGTGTTTAGTTCTAGGGGATTTCAACCTCCCGGAAGTCTGTTGGGCCGATCTTTCTTGCAATTCGGCATTAGGAACATTCGGTGCAGACTTTCTTGAGCTGACTCTCCAAGTGCCTTTGCACCAGTTCGTGGCCTTTCCCACTAGGTATATGGACAACCAAATACCATCTACTTTAGATTTGGTTTTCGCTAAGTCCCTCGACTTCGTGACTGACGTTTCATACGGTGCACCTCTAGGGTCCAGCGATCACGCATGCATATCCTTTCGGTGTGCTCTTTCAAGGCACCAAGAGACCGCTGTTGAATTACTTCCGAATATTTGGCGGGCGGACTTTAGTGCAATGCGAGCTAAGGCTTCAGTTCTGAACTGTGAGATCTCGATGGCTGACTCTGTCCAGTTAGCCTGGGATAAATTTAAGGCATACCTTACGGAGGTTTCCACTCCCTATATTCCACTCATGATGAAGAGAGGGTTAAGGGCACAGTCTCCATGGATAGATACCACAGGCAAGTACCTACTCAAGAAACGGTCTAGATGCTGGCGAACCTACCAAGCAGCTCCATCAGCCAGTACCTAAGATAGTTATCGTGAGATTAGAAATAAATATAAGCAACATCTCAGAACTGTTCGTCTGCAGTACGAGCAGGGTTTAGTGGACCCGGCCGCAGCTTATCCCAAGAAGTATTTTGCTTGCGTTAATAGACGCGGCGGGTCAAAACTGTCTATACCAGCGTTATTGCGAGCAGACGGTGCCCGTGTGCAGACTATGACAATGCTTGTATACTTAGTGATCAGTATACTGGGGTCTTTGCTCGAGAGACCTCTCTACCACAGGTTGAATTGCTTTCAAGTTCCAGAGGTTTCTTCTTTAGCTGCGTTTAACCTATCGAAGACTTAGGTCTACGAGCTACTGCAAGGCATTAATCCCTCTAAAGCTTCCGGTCCTGATTCAATTCATCCGAAGCTGCTGCATGAATTGACCACTGAGCCGAGTGGTCCACTCACATGCGTGTTTTCAATATCGCTGGACAGCTGCATCTTACCTTCGGAATGGAAGGAGGCAATCATCTGTCCGATTTTTAAGGGCGGTGACAACGCTCTGCCCGCGAACTACCGGCCTGTCAGTTTGACAAGCGTAGTAGTCAAGTTGTTTGAAAAGCTGATAAGGGATTCAGTGGAGAACCAGCTGAATAGATCCAACCTTCTCAGTGTTGCGCAACATGGATTCCGCAAGGGATTTTCATCTCAGCCTAATCTACTTATAGCTCGGGAAAGC